TTGACTTTGACGGCAAAGATGACCCCTACCATCCCATGAACTGGCCCTTCCGAAAAAAGGTTATTACAACACTCTTGTATGGCTTTACCACCTGCTGGATTACGTTTGCATCGGCCATCTACTCCGCAGGACTCGGGCAAGTGTCAGAGGACTTCCGAGTCAGCAAAGAGGTAGCAGCGTCCGGTGTCAGTCTGATGGTTTTTGGATTTGGACTAGGTCCACTGCTCTGGGCACCCCTAAGTGAAGTATACGGGCGAAAATGGGTGGTGATAGCGGTATGTTTTTTACGTTTCCTCTCCAGTGGCGCATGGCAATAAGCTGACTGGGTTCCAGCCATATTTCGTTGCAGCCATCTTCTCTTTTGGAACAGCGACAGCCAAGGACATCCAAACCGTTCTCATTACCCGATTCTTTGCTGGACTATTCGGAAGCGCGCCCGTGACAAATACAGGTGGTGTGATGGCCGATATTTGGCCTCCTCAGCAGCGTGGTGTTGCCGTTGTTGGATATGCGATCACTATCGTCGGCGGCCCGACACTCGGACCTATTATTGGAGGCGCCCTGGCTTCAAGCTATCTGGGTTGGCGGTGGACAGAGTACCTGACAGGTATCATCATGATGGCGCAGGTTACTCTGGATGTCTTGCTCTTGGATGAGAGCTATCCCCCGGTGCTACTTGCTTACAAGGCTCGCCGGCTACGTTTCGAGGGGAAAAACTTCGCATTGCATGCCAAGGTAAGGCTATACATACAGCCCAAAAGCTTCGTTGGTCTTCTCTGACGCGCCTCCAGCAAGAGGAATGGAATCTGTCGCTTGGAGAGCTATCACAAAAGTATCTTATTCGACCCTTCCAGATGTTGGGTACGCCTATCTGCCTGTTGATGAGCATATATGCATCCTTCGTCTATGGTGAGCACCCCTCGGTGTTTATCACTGATTTTCTTTCATGTACACAGCCCTCTAATTCTTTTCTTTAGGTATTCTTTACGCAAACCTTGAAGCCTTCTCGGTCGAATTCCAAGAAATCCGCAGATGGGGCCCCGTTATCGGCAATCTTCCATTTATCTCCCTTCTCGTCGGAATCTTCTTTGCTGCGGCCGTCAATATCTACAACAACAAGTATTATTTCAAGCAGTTTAAGGCAAACGGTAATAAGCCGGTCCCCGAGGCACGACTACCACCGATGATGGTAGGAGGATTTGCATTTACGGCAGGTCTCTTCATATTTGCCTGTACGATGAACTCTGGTGATCGCGTCAAAGTAGAACCTGGCTAAACCATCTCAGGGACATCATCACCAAGCACCAACTATTGGCCTTCTATCGTCGGCATTGCCTTGACTGGATTCGGTTTCACAACCATCTTCCAGGCAGCCCTCAACTATTTGATCGACACATTCACACGCTTCAGTGCCAGTGCCGTTGCTGCCAATACCTTCCTACGATCAACTATGGCAGGTGCCTTCCCACTATTTGTTCTGCCCTTGTATCATAACATCGGGATCAACTGGGGTACCACCATATTTGGCTGTATTGCAACCGTGTTGATCCCCGTGCCCTTTCTGTTCTTTTTCTGGGGAAAGCAGATTCGTGCACGGGGAAAGTGGAGCAAGCACACCGTTTAGGGTCCTCATTCTGATGAAAATGTCCACCCGTGGCTAGCTGAGGCGAAGGGTGTAGTTCATCGACGGCTATTTACGGACGGTCCTGGCGTTTCCAATTTCTTAGAACATACAATATGTACATTTAGTACCGAACTAATCACAACTTTTTTGAGGTATTTGAGAACCACGCAGCACGCGTACCTCGTTGCGCTTGATAGAAACCCCACTCGGTGAGGCTGTGGGCCACCCGGTTATCTGCGGGCCCATCAGGGTCGTTATGTCTACAATTCGAGGGATAACGTTGAATTGCAAGGTCTCATCCCTAAAAGTATTGCGGCTCACATGCCATTCTTAGCCAGTGGAGTTTGGGGGTTTGGGTTTAGCGAAGTAAATCGGGAGGGGCCGGCAGCGTCGAAGTCTACCACATTTGCTCGGCAAATTGATGAGCAGGGACATTGTCATAACTCGATCCAAATAGGACGGATGCTGATGGGCAGCACAGCATGGGTTACGTAGGGTTTATTAGTAGCATAAATGATATGTATCTTGATCATTAAAAAGTGGAATAATGGCGATCCTACAGGTGCATCTATCGTCTGCTGGCTGACTTTCAAAACAATAATTCATGTTTTCAGCACAAAATCCGGCCAAAATTGCCTCTTGCTTGTCTTGAAAAACTCCGACCTCATAGGCAAAGGGCGGGGGTTTATGTTCCAGGGGTTAAAGGGGATTCGGAAAACGTGACACATTGACAAGAAAGTTGAGTATCGACTTGCCAAGATAACACAAGGCATAGTACCCTAACCATCCCTCTTTCTTATTTGCACATGATCAACACGATAATCTAGTACATCATACAACAACTCGGTGGGAAGTGCAAGTATTTTTGCGGGGATTTGGGTGTCGTGAAGTTGCCCAACTTCGCTTCTATGCTGGCGTTTGAGGCTCTCTCGGATTTCGATAATAGTTTCATGAATGCTCTGTATCGGAACTTTGGTATTTATCTGGCAGAGAAGGATTCCTTTTGGGGGTTGTCATCTCGTGGCAGGTGTGATGGTCTCGAAGCACTTGATCGCTAACCACTTGAGGAAGAGCCGACTGGGTAGGTCATCTGACAATATCTAAAAGCTCTCAGAAGTGGTTATGGTAGGATCTTGGGTTTATCCATCACTATTTGATCTGACTGAATATTGCCGAAATTACCCATACTCCAGAATATGTTAGTCTCCAAAACCAACGGGCCATCAACTATCTGCATTATAATCTAAGAGTCTAATCACTGCGAGGAAAAATCGGCAAACCTCGCCTCAACTTCTTAGTGAGACAATGGCCGCAGCTTAATTAACTCAACGCGGAAAGTGGCCGCTTCTCAACACTCATATTCCAAACGCCAGCACCCCCTCACACCTGGTCCGCAAGAGAGGAAAAGTTAAGATTCTTGCCCCACATGAATATATATGTTGTACATTCCATGGTTATTACCCCTCCGCCCCACTAACTAAAAATGTCAAAGCCAATCAAATCATAAGATTTGAATTAAAAAAAAAGAAATTGCAACCTGTGGGATTCGAACCCACGCCTCTTTCGAGACCAGAATGCTTCACTGAAACAGTGAAAGAGGTAATTCTCTTGAGTCTGTGATATTGTTAGTGGGATTCAAATTAAGATCTGGAATAGAATTGAAAACTAACCTGGCGCCATAACCAACTCGGCCAAGGGTGCTTGGGAGGATGGGTTGTGGTTAAGAAATAAGACTGAACAGTGACAATACCCATACAATTCATAAGCATACCTTGATATATATAAAAGTAGATATAGAAGGGTGGTCAATCTAATAAAGCTCTAGCCTGTAAGTCATGATACTCCATTTTTATAGTTAATAGGGATGGGGGTTATTAAGAAATAAGACTTAACAATGGCATGACTTATATATAGTTACGTAGAGGACTAAAAGTACTTAACTCTAAAATATTAAGATATATTTTTATTCTAATTCTAACCAAACTAATATCGTAGAATATAATATAATAGTACAACTTATACTATATACTAGGTCAATTATTAAGAATGAGTATATTCTTATTTTATTTTATTTTTTAAAAAGAAAGAAAATCAAAGATAGGGAAGAAGAGAGAGAGAGAGAGGGAGAGAGGGAGATCCTAAGGGTTCTCATAATAGAGGATCTAGTAAGCAGATAAACCCCTCCTTCCCGATCAGGCTTAATAGTAATTTAGAGAATAAAGAAATAAAGTAAATAACGAATAACACCATCGAGTTGTTATGGGGAGAAGGCCAGGGACTAGCGAGTACGCTGGAGAATCTTTTAATTACACAAAGAGAGGAAAAAAAACTACCTAGTATGTAGGCTAGAACTAAATTGTACTGGGAAGAAACAAGGGAAACGATATTACTTCCAACACATACACTTGTAAATGATCAATTAAATGTACTTAAAGAATATAAATATGGTAAGGAAGTTGGTACAATTGTAGAGGTAGAAAGACTGTATACTGCACTTTCAATATAGTGATTATAAAGTGAGAGTGGATCTAAAATACTGTCCGGCAATATTAATATTGGGATGATCCCATCTCCCGTTGCTTGCCTGCGAACTAAGCGCTTGTTTGTTAGATTCAGAGTATGGATCCCCTGCTTTCCCATAGGTTGTATATCAAGATTCTTCCTCTGATTTCTCCCCTCCGTAGCATTCCTCCAAGAATTAACCAGTGAGAGAGGGTTGTGCCCCGGTATCTTCAACCCTCTGCTGCTCGTGATGCCCGTGCTGCCCAGCCTGGCGAGCCTACCGCTCGTGCAATCGAGGCGCAAGTGGACCTAAGAGTAGAGGTAAGAATTACCCTCATTTCCTTGTTTTTCAGATTTCTAGGTACTATTTCAGGATGGCGCTAGTGGTTATCATATCTGACGTATATAGCCTACATAGTAGTAGTTTATTACACATGTTAGCTCGGCCCGTAGGGGGATGTCCTAGGGCTATGGCCGAGGCCGAGGCTAAGGTGATATATAGGCGGCTGTTTTAATTGTGGTAGTGGCGGCTATAACGCTACTCGTGAAGGTAGCTATGGTTGATATAACTTTAGGGGCCGTCGTAGTACTATTTGTTAGTCCCACGCTGGGCTGGTCGGCTCGTTCAAGAGCCTTGACCTGTTATGATGCAGCTACCAGAGTAGCTTATTTATTCTTCTTTGGGGCCTTAGGAGATACCTAGTTCTTGCTTCTTTTCAGCTAGAACTGGATCATAGAGCGTCGCGTCCACCACTTTGTCATAATCTCGCTTTCCGGCCGGAGGTCAGATAAAGCAGGCCGAGAGGAAGAAATATCTGTATCACCCTTCTGTTTGCATTTGGGACATAGAAGACCATGTAGATTAACCATACATTTATCGGGAAGGCCATAGAGGGGAGTTTTCCCCTCCATTTCTGCTCTTTTGTAGTTCCAAGAACAGTTTCTTTACCTCAGTCACATGGGAGTAATCGTCTTTTTCATTGACATCAGAAACCCAACCTGATTCCCAACCATCATCGCCGCCTTGTTCAGGACCATTATCGTTCTTGTTAAACGGGGTGTCTGCACTTTGGCCGGTCATGGTCGGGGTTCGAGCCCTCGGGACGTGGCCCTGGCTCTTGGGAAAGATACCGTCGAGGACAGTTTGCTTCTGGCTTGCCCTCTGAGGGGCCTTAGCCTCTGTTTCATTTCTTTTGCCTGCCCTCTAAGGGGCCTTCGCCGTTTGATCCGTATTCTCGATTCGATCGAAAGGTAGGAAAGTCTGTCGGTTCTGGCCGTTCTTGCTAACAGCCAAGGGTTTTGCCCGTTTAATTGGCCTAAAGTTCCGGTCCGTCTCTTTGGCTGAGACCTCCCTAAATATGCTTTCTGTCTCGAGTTGGTCACTTAGGGACGAGTGCCTTCTCTTGTGACTAGTGCCTTGGACCGAAGGGAGGAGGGATTTGGATGGATCACGACTGGCACCGGTATCTATTGTTAGTTAATGGGTATATAGAAACCACTTACCTTGATCGTAATTGGATAAATCGGACAAAGAATTGATGCAAATGGTGGTTTACAGGTTGTGTCAAGACACGTTACTTGCGCTACACGTGAAATTAATTGACTGTCTATTCAATTCGCTTTATACTCTCTTTTAATTCACTTTATACTCTCTTTTAATTCACTTTATACTCTCTTTTAATTCACTTTATACTCACTTTATACTCACTTTATACTCACTTTATACTCACTTTATACTCACTTTATACTTATTTTCACTTGACTTTATACTCACTTTACTTTCTACTCACTTTTACTTAAACTATTACTAGATAAATAACTTCAGTTGGTCTCATATCCTAGTTGCCTAACGCTTGAATGGTAGGTACATACCCCAGATTATACTAGTGGCCCCTTTACTCCCTAAGTCCCAACCACCTATACACTATACGTTGAGGAGTGTTGAGTCTCTCTCGGTTTTTCTTTTTGTTCTTTTTTTCTTCTGCCTTTTGCCAATATGGCAGAGCGTCAGGCTGGGGCTGGCGCTGGGGGGGACCGCCCCCACTGGGACCTGGCCAAGTCGGTCCCAACCATGCCCGTAACGTGGCATTGAAAAGGGCGCACCGGGAGCGTCAAGCCGCCGTAAGCTCTACCACATACTAATATGGAACATGGTCTTAATCAAAAGTAAACAGGAGGCAATGGAAGCCCGGCGGAGGAGGATCGAGGCGGAGATGATCCGCGGGCACGACGACCTACAGGTCGAACGTCAAATGAATGTAAGATACTATCATCTGCTTTGCTCTACTTATTACGTCTATCTCTCTATTGGAGAGGTAGTAATTGAGAATAAAATTCTCATATGGTTAACAGGCCGAGTTTGGGGACGTTGCTCACAGGGTCATGGGCACCTATGCCCATGGCCCCTCGTTCCCCCGTGGTGGCCGTGATGGCGTCCGTGGTGGTAGTGTCCGTGGTGGTTTTCGTGGTGGCCGTGGCCGAGGAGGAGGCGACTACGGTGCTTTCCACGGGGCCGCCCAGAACCCCGCCGGTCAGGATGCAGGGCCCCCGCCACCCCCAACGAAGAGGCCGCTGGTGAGGCTGTCGGAGAAGCCGTTGCTGGTGCCGGTCCCGCGGGACCCCTTAACGAGCCTGCTCCCCGTGAGCACGGCCCTGAGCCCCTCGCCATAGACTATGGTAATGGTATGTTCAATTAATCTTCCCCTCAACCCATCTTCCATCAACCCAATCTTCTATCCAACCTCTCTTGCCTCTAACCTATCTTATCTCTAATGACGACCTTCATATCTATCGATTAAGTGGATATAACTAATGATTAATTACTATACAGACAACTTTGATATTGAGCTCGACTAAGTCCTTGTTGATATATTACGTCTGTTATATCCGGCGTATGGCTGTAATTTTGTTATAAGATAGCCTATCTCACCGCTGGTTTTTCTATTTTTTTAAAAAAAAGGAATTTTAGAATCGAGGAACTTTACCCGGTAAGGGCCATTGAATCTATTAGCAATAACTATATAGTTGTAGATAGTAGAGAATCCGCCATTTAATTAAAATAGCACAGATGAATCTATGTAAAGACTTGAACTTAGCGAAGGTTATATTGCTAGGAGAGGACTATGTCAAAGTATATTGTATAATGTGATATACTTTGAGTGCATGATGATGATGATGATGATGATGATGATGATGATGATGATATGAAGAACTGTCGAAGCCACAGCGTGCGATCTTGATCCAGATGTGTACAATGCGGGTTGGACTTCGTCACTTCTTGTTTAAAATCAAGGCAGCTGAGACTTACTGGTGAAGTTGTGATGAGGGCTCACAAACACCAAAGCATATTCTGATGCAGTGTCCACGGTATATCATTCCGCGTACAAAATTGTGGGAGCAACTGGATAGAATTGGGATTGGATTCATAGAGATAGACTGTGACAAGATCATATCTAACCCGCAGGCCATCCGCCACGTGGTCAACTTCATGCACCGAATAGGTCTCCTCCGGTAGTTTCAACACGTTGGGACCGAGGAGGACAACGACAACGACGAACCGACAGGCCTCACGGCAATGGATCTAGGTGTGGAAGACGATGGGTATTAGCCAATGTCGACAAATGATGCTGTGAAACGAGGAACTCAGCCAAAGTCGACAATCACATCAGTTGAATGGCTAGGACAACGTCACCATCAATTGAAACTGAGGTAGGGGAGGAGAGAGAGAGAGAGAGAAGTGAAGTGGGGGTTGGAAGGTGGAGGGTGCACTCCACAACTATCATTAAATGTTAATTTCTTATGTATGGGTTTGGATGGGCTTAGATTTATGGGGTTACGGGTTACAGGAATGGGCTTATTCCGCACTCTTTATGATCAGCATCTGTATACTCTCGGGTGACCCCACTCGGCGTTAGACTTCGAGTCCTTGCTTCAGTTGGATGAAGTGCCTGCACAGTCACACGCAACTAGTTAGTCTGCAACAGGTTAATTGAACTTTGATTGATTGGATAGAGACTTATATCGGCTAAGGTACAGAGACTACAGAATCGTCAACTGAGAACCTGGCACCTCGTCAACCAAGGACCTCAGCAACCGGAAGAAACTCCTCAACTGCCAGGAACCCGTCAATGGAGCACATCGGCGGGCATCTGGCTCAAAATTGGTGGAGCACGTGGAATCAACGGTCTGGGCCTGGGCTCAAAGCGGGACGGGTCGCCGCATTTGCTGCGCGGAAGCACGCGTTTTAGCAGCTTTCCCTGATTCCCAGCAGCCAATATCTCCAAGACTGGATCGGGTACGATCAAAGAGGCATCATGCTCTAGAATGAGCGCTAGGTCGGTAGAGTGCGCCCATATCTCCTGGTCCACCGAAGATCTGGCAGCTGTGGTCAACACCCGCGGAGGGATGCGTAACTCCGTCGTAGAGGCCAGGAACGTACGCATTAGGCAATCATTCGAACTTCCGCAAGCTGCCTCCAATGGTGTCTGTTCAACCATAGCCCCTGTTTGTGAGAGATATCGAGCCCGTGGATCATTGGATTGGAGTGAACGAACTCGATTCGGATCAGCACCATTTTTGAGCAAAAGAGAGACGTTGTCGGGAAAACCTTTGTCAAGGGCGGCGAACAGACCGTTCTGGAGCTCAGTGTCCGAGGAGTCGGGCTTTCGGTGGGCTAGGAGGATGGTGACAACGCCCGCATGACCGAGGGAGCAAGCAAATTCGAGACTGTCTGGACTGTCGCCACACGTTGTCTTGGCCCCGGCTTCTAAAAGACAGTAGACTGTATCCTCGAGGTCCAGGGCGTGGTGGCCATGAGGGGCTTTCTGTGTTGGTGCTGCCAAGCTCATCTTGAATGCCTCTAGTGCGCCCAGTAAAGGTGTCTGGCCTTGCACATCCAGCTCATTGACATTTGCACCGCGAGAAAGAAGTAATTGGACCAAATCCTTGTTCATGTTCCGAGCTGCAGAAGCTAAAGGCAGATAGCCCTGTTTATTTGGACTGGTTGGATTAATACCCCGAGCTAGGCAACGTTGAACTGCCGTCGTGGAGCCGCAGGAAGCCGCAAGTACCAGTATGTCGGGGCTAGGTGGAACATAGTCCAGCAAAAGCTCGATTAGATGGATACGGTATGCCAGTAATTCATCCGACATAGCCGTTGTCCAAATTGTCTCAAAATCGCTTCTTTGTGAGGCAACTTCCAGAAGAAGCTCGAGGATGTTAGCTTTAGCAGGTGACCAGCTATCAGAACAAGTTCTTGCGATGGCATTTAGAACATTTGTGCTGTAACAGGGATCTTCAACAACTTTGACATTGCCATGATCAAGCAGTGTCCTTACAACTTCGAGATGCCCCTTATTTGCAGCAATCACGAGTGGCACACCAAAACCTTCCTCAACTCTCTTAGTTATATCGGCGCCATATTTCAGCAATTCTTGGACAACAGCCAGATGGCCGCGACGAGAAGCTTGATACAATGGGGTTGACTCAACCTTGCTCGGCGTGTTTAGATCGAGTTTGCCCGGGGTGTTTGGATCAACGCCAGCGGACAGAAGACTCGACACAATATCAGTGTCACCCTTAGCACACGCAACTAACAGTGCATCGGAGCCCCCATCTATCGAAAATTTCAATTGAAGCAGGCAGTCGACCATCTGGGCATTTCTTGCCCGCGCAGCAACGAGAAGAAAGGATCGGCCGTGGGTGCGAACGCGTTGTGCACCATTATGGACAAGGAGCCGCACTGCTCCAGTGTGGCCACCCATAATAGCCTTGATCATGGCATCCTGTGGACAACTGACAAACCCTTTACATTCGGGATCGGCACCAGCATTAAGAAGCTCTTTGATGATGTGAATATGGCCATAAAGTGCTGCACAACCGAGGGGTGTGTCGAATACCGTGTTTCGACCGGAATGATTCACCAACGCCCCATGTTTCAGCAACAGTTTGACAGAAACGCGATCCCCTGCTGTTGATGCCGCAGTCAGGAGCATTTGAAACTCGTGTTTATCTGCCCTCTGTTGCGGGAGTCGTTTGAACATTTCAGTTAACAGCGCTCGCATTCCGTCGTTGAACAACTGTCGAGCTGCTTCGATCGACAGTGCTTCACTTTTGTACTCATGATCTTGAGTCTGGTGAGCGGTCGATCCATATGGCAGCAGGATTGGCCGTCTATGCCACATGATAGGCCGGGACAAGGACATGCGCACCGCGGGATGGATCTGACCTTGCCTTGTACTGGGAAGAGTTGCCCCTCCCTTGAGCAATTTTGCAATGATGGCGTACGAGAAGCGACACTGTCTCTCGGCAGCAAGCAAAATCGGATGACAGCTTTGCTCGCCTTGAGACCAATGTTCTCGTGACTCGCCATGCTCATCATCATCCTCATCCAGCCGATTTGGCTCAGCGCCTGCATCCAGTAGAGCCTCGATAACGCTTTCATTGGCCCAAAGTGCCGCATACTGAATTGGGTACATAGGCTGTCCACCCTGGTCATCTGGATCGCAACCAAGCTCAATCATTGTGCTAAGAATCGACTCAAGCTCCCGCGACAGCTTCACAAGAGAATGAACATCCCCGTGGTCGGAATTTTCGTGCGATGCAATCTTCTCAAAACCTCGTATGACGGCCTGCAATGGGCTGATTATCCGGGAGGAAACTTGAGGATTTCCTGGTTGTTGACGTCGATAAGCATTCTCCCAGGGGGGCGGCAATCGGTCTTCAAAGAAGGCAGCGAGTGAGGCCATTTTTCTGTCTGATCCCCTCGGATTTGGCACTTCCTGCACGCAGAGGTGAATTTCCGCGCCGTTTTTCAAAAGCAGATCTGAGGTTTTCCTGCGTCCATATTCAGCAGCCACGACAAGCCCTCTTGTGAGAACCGTCGTCTTGTTCGTCCCCCCTATGCCATTCCAAAAGCTAGTGAGATCCAGCATGCCCTGCACAACGCGGGAATTTCCTGCATACGAGGCAGCTAAAAATGCATCATAAAGCTTTGACCGGCTTTCCTCAGACAGTGCGTTCACCAATACTTTGTTCGCAAGATAGCTGACCATCTTGGCCTTGCCTGCAAGCGCTGCCTCATAAACGCCCTGGCAGATTAGCTGTTGGGGGAAACAATCCTCGTGGAGGCCAGAGGAAAACAAGAGCTCCATTCCACGGACATTGTGGGAACAGGCGGATAGAAAAACATCTTCCAAAAATTTGCTCGGCTCATTGTACTTCATATATCCTCTGGTTTTTGCTTTGACTACGAGCTGCTTCAACAGACTGAGATCGCATGTAGTTGTTGCCGCAACAACTAATGATAACAGCACACGGCGACTGTCTTCAAGCCTTTTGGAGACACGAACTTTCGGATTGAGATACATCCTGAGAGATGAGATCATAGCTGCAGATGCTGTGGGAATTTTCAGATCCGATGCATTCGCAGTCACAACTGGACTTTCCAACCCGCTATGCTTTTGCAGCCACAATAAGACAAATTCTGTTGTCTGACGTCTTTGAGCTTTCGTGGAAGTATCAATAGCTTTGGCAAGCTCCCACATAAATGTCTCACCCGGGGGCGGGTGATGCTGCAGGAGCATTGAAACACAAGCGAGGTCTCCAGACTCGATGGCAGCCTCAAAGGGTGACACCCACTGTTCAGGTGACTGCATATATTTCCAGTTGGA